TCAGTGAGACCCTTGTCTCTAAATAAAATACAAAAATAGGGCTGGGGATGTGGCTTAGTGGTTGAGTGCCCCTGAGTTCAATCCTCAGTATCCTCCACCCTCCCCCCCAAAAGCCTAATCTCCTCCCTGATCTTCTTTTCCCAGATCTTCTTCCCTTAACCTCTCCTCTCTGATCTCATTTTCTCTGAATCACCTCTTTAAACCCTCCCTGTTCCTGCCGATGGGCAGAGTCACAACCTTTGGGACAGGAAGCAGTCCCTGTGTTTCTCCTTTGTTAGCAAAGCAATGAACCTTTTTTCTTTTTCTCAAAACCATGACCTCATTATTGGATTGGTATCAGGGACAAGGGCCAAGCTTCCAGCAACACTCCTAGTTGAGGAGGTGCCGTTGGGTACTTCTTGAAAACCCAGGTTGACTGACACAAGCATTATTTTTCGTATTCATCATTGTAAGAGGAAGCGTTTTCTTGAGTTTATCCATGAAACTTCCCAGGATCCATGTCCTAAGCCAATTTTATTCCACACACTCCAGGGGGCCCATCCAGAGATCATTTAGGGCTCTTCTCCTCCCTAAAAGAAGAAAAGCTCAGAGCTGTGGCACATGACCCCCGCGGGCAGCTTGTATCTCTCTCCTGTTTGAGTGGGGACAGCTCTCTCTGGAGGTCACTGATGGACTGGATTAATTTCTGTCGCTGGCTGGCGTATTTCGCCTTCCACTCCAGTGAGTAGAGTGGGCCAGCTGTCGTGAGCTTTCTCACCACGAGGAGTAATCTGGGATTTCGTAACGTCTCTCTGTTGGTCATAATTCATTCAACCTTTTTTTTTTTTGCTCTCTGCTTCTAAGTTTTCACTTCCTTTGCAGCTGCCATTTATTTTCCTGTTTCTACCAGTTCTGCATTAGCTTCTTCAAAACCATGTATTTCTCTCCATAAGATCATTAGGATCTTGACTTTCTGTTGCATTTTTTTTTCTTTTCTCCAGCAGAATTTCGACTAAATGTTATGACCAAATGACCCCTCATCGGCCAATTTATGTTTGAAACAAAGGATTTTTGCAAACATTTTTCTTTGCTTTCTCCCTTTATTATTTCCTTTTCTTATAACTCACCCCACCCCACCCCACCCCACCCATCCTCTCTCTTTCATTCTTTTTTTTTTTGTTTTGTTTTGGTTTGATTTTATTCACTTTATTGATCAGCCTCTTTCAACTGCAAGATACAGTGATTGAAAAAATTCTACTTTGGGGCTGGGGGTATATTTCTATGGTACAGCACTTATCTATCACGAGCAGCTCTGGATTCTATCCCCTCTTGCATGTGCGCACGAACACACATGTGCGCACGAACACACCAACAAAACCAATCTCAATTTCCTGCTCTCTACCAGCAAAGGCTTTTTGTAATCCTTATATATCTTTCTAAGATTTCCCGTATGATTTTGATAGTTCACCGAGTTCAATGTATCTCTTATTCTGGTTGTCTTTCTGCAGAAACTGTTCCATGTTCCTGACATTGGTTCTTTTTTCTTAAGCCTGGTGGAATTTTAGACCTCATCTTTAGTTAGTTTAGCTATAAAAATTTTACAGAATTTTCTATAAAAACAAATAGTGTAACAGGGGTTCACTTGATGCTTTGATTATATATCCCTTGTGGCTTTGAAACATACATTTTTTTTTTCTTTTTCCCAACCTTCTCCCTGACCTTCTCCTCCTTGATTTCTTTTCCCCATATTCTTCTTCCTGATCCCTCCTTCTGAGACAGGAGTCCCCTGTGTTTCTCCTTTGCTTGCAAAGTAATAAACCATCTTTTTCCTTTTTCTCAAAACTGTGTCCTCATTATTGGATTGGCGTCGGGGACAAGGATGGAGCTTTTGGCAATAATAATATTTCTTTGCTTTGGTTTTCCCATACTTTGTTTGATTGGTTTTTAACATGGTCTTCAACATTAGTAGCCAAAGTTAGAGGTGGATTTTCTCCTGGAATCTGATTTCTTTTCTCAAGCCCTCCTTTAAAAGGCAATGTAACTGGATATAAAAAAACTGCAGCACATTTTTCTGAAAAAATTTATAGGAATTTATTTTGAGACATCTAGCATTGAATATTGATTTGGAAAAGTCTGCAACAACCATGCTCTCCTCTCTCCTTTTTATAAAAGAGAATTGATCTTTTTTCTAAGTTACCCCAAAGATATTTCCTTTATTGTTGAGGTTCAGGAAATTGATGCCCTGTCATCTTTTCTATAGGAACCCAAAAGATGATTTGCATATGTTTCATCTCCTTTTTTAGTGATTTCTAAGAAGAGAAATAAAGAAGGGCTCAAACCACTTTTTTCTGTCACTTCCAAACCTTATCACCAGGGCAACTTATGTCTAACACCCCTGATTTTCACGACAAGAATTCAACACTGATTCTTGAGGAATAATTTCCTTCCATCCTTCTATTCTGTCTTAACCAGGAACCTTAGTTATGTATTTATCAAGGCAGATAAACAAAGGTGAAAACTCAAGAAATGGGCTGAGTAGCTATTCGTAGGGAATTGAGAGATAACTGCATAGATGTGTGCATTATAATTCAGGCCTTACAGTATCCACCAGAGTCTGGGAAGCATGGACTGAGACCTGTACCTAGCCAGGAGGCAATGATGAATAGATAGGAGGAGGGTTTCTTTGTTCTTAATCTTCAGAATAAAACTGTTCCTGCTTTGGGTTAAAAATAGCTATTTTTTTGTTATGTTTTTCCTAATTGCCTTGTATTTTGGTATTTATTTACATGAAGAACAGCTATTGTTTGCCTATACTTACTTTCAGGCAATGTGGGAGATGTGAAGGCTAACACAGCAGCTTCGTCAGCTTTCTCTCACAATGACAAAATACCTGAACTAATCAATTTATAAGGAAGAAAGGTTTATTTGGGGTCCAGTTTTGGAGATTCCAGTCCACGGTTACTTGGCCCTATTGCTTTGGGCCTGTGGAACAAATCGTGGTGAGGAGCATGTGGCAGAGGAGGCCTGTTCATTTCATGGGGGCCTCCTGGAGAGGAGAGGAAGGAAGGGCCCAGCAACACAATAGGCCCTCCCATAGGCCTCACCTGTTAAAGGTTCCACCACCTCTCAAGAGTGCCACAGACTGGTGACCAAGCCTTTATTAAATGGGCCTTTGGGAGACATTCCAGATCCAAACTATAGCAAGGTCCCTGTCAAGAAGGAGTCAAAGCCCCGCATGGAGGCTCACGCCTATAATCCTAATTTGGGAGGCTGAGGCAGTAGGATTCTAAATTTGAGGCCAGCCTCAGCAACTAGTGAGACCCTGTCTCAAAGGAAAATATAAAAAGGGATAGGGATGTGGCTTAGCCCCTGCGTTCAATTGCGTGTATCAAAAGGTGGGGGGTTCACAGCTAGTAGACAACAGAGGCATCTGTGGAACTAACTTTAATCGAATCTAGTTTTTGAATGGGAGAAGACGGAACACACGTTGCAGTGTGGAAAGAAACTATGAGAATTTCTGTTTATACTTATTTTATACAAAAATAAATTATGCTTTGGGGAGTTAATATTCCAATTGACCCTGGTATCATCTCAAGATGCTTGTGACTTATGGTGATTTGTCATGAATTCTTCCCTGAATTCCTTAAAGGGGGAATAGACAATGGATTTATTAGAGACAAAGCATATTTCCAGATTTTGCTCTACTAAGCTTCACAACTGAGCAAGTAGCTTAAAAGACTAGAGCAAAGAAATTTCAAAGTGAAAATAACATTAATGATAATACAAATTCATAAAAAAATGAGAAAGTGGGCAAACCGACACTCTACTCCTTATATTAGTTCTTTATCATTTTATACACACACACACACACACACTCACACATGTGTGTATTTTTTTCTTTCATTTTTGTTTTGGTACCAGGGATTGAATCCAGGGATGCTTAACCACTGAGCCATATCCCCAGCCCTTTTTAAAAAAATATATTTTATTAAGAGACAGGGTCTCACTAAATTTCTGAGGCCATTTTATATGTGGGACTTGAACATCATGAATTTTGGTATCCAATGGGCGAAGGGCATCTTTGAACCAATTTCCCTCAGATACAGAGGGGAGGGATGAGTGTATATTCACTTTATTGTGCAACCATCACCACTATCCAACTTCAGAATTCTTTTCATCTTACAAAACTGAAACTCGGTACCAATTAAACAACTCCCCATTCCCCTTCCTTAATCCCTGGCAACCACTATTCTACTGTTTTCCTCCATGAATGTGATGTCTCTAGCTATTGCATATGAGTGAGCACCATATAGTATCTGTCTTTGGGGGATTGGCTTATTTCACTTAAGATTCACCTATGTTGTATATGTATCAGTATTTCTTTTTTTAATATTTCTTTTTTAATTTTTAGGTGGACACAATATCTTTATTTTATTTTTATGTGGTGCTGAAAATCGAACCCAGTGCCTCATGCATGCTAGGCAAGTGCACTACCACTTGAGCCACATCCCCAGCCCAGAATTTCTTTTTTTAAAGGCTGAATAATATTTCATTGTGTGCATAGACCATGTTTTCATTATCCATTTACCCATCCATAGTTCAATTGCTTCTACCTTTTGGCTATTGTGAATAATGCTACTGTGAACATGGGTGGACAAATAGCTCTTTGAGATCCCATGTTTAGGGGGCTGTATGCCTGCGGCCGGGGTTCGATCCTCAGCACCACATACAAACAAAGATGTTGTGTCTGCCGAAAACTAAAAAATAAATATTATCTCTCACTCTCTCTCTCAAAAAAAAGAGATCCCATGTTTAATTCTTTTGGACATAGATGTGAGACTAAACATTTCAGTAAGTTCCCTTTTCTAAGGTTATTTTGAACAAGGCAGAAAAGTTCTTGCCGAGCTTCTCTAAATGCATTATTTTTGTTATCAGAGTTCTAGGCTAGAGGTCCCACTCTGGGGATCCAACAAATCAGGTCTGTCTGCTTGCTCCAAAAAATTAAACAGAAAAGGCAATGATGAAAAGCTTGAAAGAAACTTCAATCCGTGTAACCACAACTGAGAATCAAGAGGACCCAAGTTCTTAGCCCTGTCTTTAAGGGGCTAACAATGAATGATTTGAAGTTTTACAGAAAGGGGAATGAGAGCAAGTGTTGGAGGTTTGCACAGCTGTAGGCTTTTCCCAGCTGCCCTTGCAGATGATCTTGATCAGGTGTGGCATGTCCATCATCATCTCAGGACTGGTCAGGTGGGGAATCACCCTGGGTAAGAAAGTTGCTGTTGCCAGGAGCTTTGAGTCATCACTAGATACTTATGGGATCAGATTCTCTTCCTGGAATCCATGGTGACCTGGAGCAATGGAGAAGGATGCAAAATAGAGGCAGAGACGCCAAGTCTTTAATCCTGCTCTTAGCCATCCATTAGACATTTGCAAGCAAAAGTGAAGAGTCTAAGTCCTTGTTATATTTTCTTGAAAATTTGTGAACGTTTGCTAGTGGCACTAAAGTAGGCTACACAAATCAAGCCAAAAGACTTACTGATTTTGCAGGGATGTCCTAGTGAATGCCCACCCCAGACTTCCTGATCTAAGAGGCAGGGTTTTTGCTATGTGTATGTGCATGTAGTCATCTGTAATTTTATATAAATGAGAAGCAAAGGGCATATTAGGAAGAGACATGGTGGGCTGCAGAGACATTTCCTAGCAGCAGTTGTTAGTACAATGGCTTCTAAGATTTCTAATGTGGGCGGCATTCTACAATCACACTGATATTATAGCAATCTGTCGCTTTAAATTAAAATGGCTCCTGACCCTGCTGTCCTGAATCTGTGTCTGAATCTATGATTCATTCCTTTTATAAAGGGGTTGATTTACAAGTTGGTTGCACTCACAACACCTTGCAAAGGAGCACACTTGTCTTAATATTTTAGAACTTTCCCCGTAGAGGTATTTTCTTCTGTTTCAGTTTTCTTCATTCTAGCTCTGTATCATAAAATGCCATTTACCAAGGATTCACAATGCTTGTTCTGTGGGCATGCCCTCCCCCAGCCTGTCAAAGAATCTTGCAAATCATTCACTGGGTGGGGGAGGGGAGATTGCCTATAATAGGAAAATGATGCCGGGGAAGCCGGGTTCTACTCCCTCTGCGGATTTGTTTGACAAGGAAGGCAAATCTCTTCCAGGAAAGCCCTGGGCTCTGACTGGATCGAAGCCATTTTAATCCAAATGCATGGCCGTCGGCAATAGGAAAACACAGCCTCGCTGTGAAACAAAGGGTAAATGTTTCCGCAGGGCGCTGCATTCACAGACTCAGAATTTTGTCTTATTTCAGACTTTTGTTACCTGAGTGGTTGGTCCCAACAACGCCCCACGACTACGGAAGGACGAGGGCTCTGAAGCTAGCTCCCACCCATGTAAACCTTTTGACTAAAGAGCACGCGGGCAGCTGTGCCCCGAGCTGTCATTTCTCATCCGGAGGGAAGGCCTGGGAGTAAAGGAGGAGAGCAGTAGGCTATAAACAGGGGTCGCGACAAAGCTGAGAAAGCACAGATCCCAGGAAACCTCTCCCCGCCCCCTCTTCGCAGTTACAATCTGTGGCTAGGACCCCTTTCTTAGCCTCAGTTCCCTGGGCATTTCACTCCTTTATATAAACGTTAGGATTGGTAGTTTTCCAATATTTCTAACTGGACAGCATTGAGAAGAGTGGGGACAGAAAAAAAAAATAGGGAGGAAATAATGACGGATTTGCAGTCTTTGCAATCTCTTTCAATTCCTTTTCATTCATTGGCAAAGTGTAGGTTGCCATGGAAACGGCGTGCATCTCAGCTGCAAAGAGGAGGGGTTGCTGGCTTGTTCATTAAGAGGTGAATGCAGGATAGCTGTGGGGGAAAATCCTACACTGTCTTGTAATTTCAATAAGCGTGTTAAAAAATATTTTTGTATTAAGAAAATAGTGCATCCAAAATTTACTATGCATTTTTGTAAAGAATGTTCTCTGTGGACCAGACGATGACTGCCCTTGGAACCCATCCCCTTATTTGACAACGGATGAACCAAATCCTGAGAAGGGGAGAGCCTGGAGTGTAATTGTAAATGCTCTATTGCAGAACACACTTCTTTAATTAGTTAAAACAATGGCTCTGTGTGTAACAGAATAAATGCACAATCAGTTGCAGATTTACCATTGAAAATAATCTGAAAATTGTAAGACCAAACGTAATTTTAATAGTTTAGGGGCTTGTTTACCCCTGCCACACAGTTATGTGTAAAACAATGTGGAATTTTATTTTACACAGTGAAATTTCTACAATTGTCTCTGAAAGGGAAAAATTTTTAAATGTTAGGAGATCATTAAAAACTAGCCCTATATAGGAGATCATGAAATATATTGTCCTGAAAGCTTCATGTCTGATACACAATGACCTAGATTGAGAGGAACTGTGTATAATAAACAGACAAAAAGAATTGCTGGGGGTTCAACTGAAAGCAATTTGTTTCTTTGATAGCCCAGTACCAGTCTCTTCCTGCCTGCTACAGTAGAATAAAGGTAACTTAAACAAAAATTAGTAGATAAACTAAAAGTCTTTCGGGAAAGGACATAATTGTCACCACCATTTCACCACTAAAATCAGATCCTTGTGACAATGAAAATGTGCAGCATCATGACTGCAATGGCAAATAGGGGTGAAGTGCTTGCCTGGAAGGGGCTAGGGTGGGGTGGGGGGCAAGGCAGCAAAATTCAAGAAAGGAAAACAGATCTTGGGCCAAAAAGCTGCCTGAATCCCCAAGGGCATCCAGGCATTTAGAAGGATGATTTCCTGCTTACTGTATACCAAACCTCCTACCCTAAAAGAAACCCGAGAGGAAAGGGTTCTTTCATCTGTATAATCTGAATAAGTTTTTGCACCGGGCACCCGTGAAGATCTGACTCTGAAACCGCCGCTTAGAAATGAACCCGATAGGTGAGAGAGACAGACTCAGATTACCCTCCGTGGAGCTGAGCTCCGGGGGCTCTGAGCAACCGGCGTGGCGCCTAGGCTCGGGCAGCGAGGCTTGGACAGCTGGGCGCGAGTTATCCTCCCACCGAGGGTGCCGCCCTCGCTCAGTTCCTTGCAGGCAGCCGGGGCCACGGAGCCGCCACCTTCGAGGCTGACACCTGCTACAGACCTTTCGGTCCTGACAAAGTCTCCTTCCCCGGTTCCCTGAAGACAGAATCCCAGCCTGGGTCGTGCCTCTAATTTATTGCGTGACCTCTGGGACTGCTGGCCCTTGACGTTTCTGCATCTGTAGGATTTGGACTAGAAAACTAGCGGTCAGGGCCAGGACCCCTGGAACCCCGTAAATGGGGCAGGTGGGCAGAATTGCTTCTGCTATGCCTATCTCCCTTTCGCACCCTAAGCCGGGCACTCTCAGCTGTGTCTGGGGAACTCCAGGCCTCGAGCTCTAGTTTGAACACCCTGGATATTTGGGGGCGGCTGAGCTTTTGTTCTGGCAGCTTCTCTTTGTACATTGGAATTGACTTGAAAGCCTCCTCCTTCCTCCCAGCGGGAAAGGGAGGCGATGACAGCTTGCTGATAGTTCTGGGAGGGCCTCACTCAACAGCTGCTAACTCCACTCGGTTGCAGCATCCCAGGTCATTCGGCCTCTCTCGCCAGAGAATGAAAAAGGGTCACGTCACCTCGCAAGCGACCCATCCCAGGTGGGGGCCGGCGCGCTTTAACGATAAAATTGCAAGGAACAGGTTCTTCGGTGGGCGTTTGTGCTACTCTTTCCCCCTCCCTCCCTCCAACGCACACAGGTTTAACATCTTGTCTTTCAGCCTCTCTCTCACTCTCTCTGCTCCCCCACCCCCTGAGAAGTAACAAAGAGGTCTTTTCCTCCCTCCAATACCTAGAGAGTGTGGATTTGAAGGGACCTTCGGTGCTCCGCGTCTGCGCACGCGCCCCGGTGAATGCACCTGGGTCTCCGGTGGTCTCTACCTTGCCTTGCTGCAATATTTAGGCGTGTCCCTCGTCCCTCTACCCGCAGCAGCAAGTCTGGGAACTCCTGGCCGCCGCGATGGAAAATAAGAATGTTCTCGGTGGACCGGACGATGACTGCCCTTGGAACCCATCCCCTTATTTGACAATGGATGAACCAAATCCCGAGAAGGGGAGAGCCTGGAGTGTGATTGTAAATGCTCTATTGCGGAACACATCCCAAGCTTTTGTGAGCTCTTTGTTCCTCCGACAGCCCCGCCTCTGGGACCCCACCCTTATTCTGCCCGCAGGATAGTCCACGCTGCAGGGCCAGCCACACCCACTCCATCATTTTCTAGGAACAAAAGCCAACTAGATGGGTGGAGGGGGTCTTTGGTAAGGCCTGAGAGTGGACTATTGGAGAGGGTGAGGCAGAGCTCAAGGGACTATAGGGGTCTCTCCACCCCAGGATGCTGCCGCCTCAGTGAAAGGGAACCGGTGACCCTCCACAAAGACAAAGGAGAGAAGAGCGATGCTGGGGGGCGGGGCAAGGGTACCCCCAAGCTCTTGGGCAGAGTGTTCGGGATTGCAGTCAATTGGACCCCAACATTTTATTACATTCGACTTTATTCTGGGATCACCCTTATTCCCCTAAGCCTCCATGGGACAGGGCGTCGGCTCCTGGAGAGCTGCTGGCCTCCAATGTTGGGAAAAGGGGCATTGGCTAGCTAGGGGAACGGCTCGAGGCCAAACTGAATCGGCAACCGAGATGAAAGAGCAGCCTGAAGCGCCTCAGTACTCCCACCTGCTGGCACCCGGAGCACCTGACGGTCTTTCCACCTGGTCCAGTACTCCCTCCTTCCCATCCTGTGCTAGCTCTCTCTCCATCCGGAGCCTACCCCGTTGGGTAACCGCGCGTCGCAGCCCTCCGGCCACCGGCTTCTTCACCCCCCTCCCAGTTCCGGGTGCCCAGCTTCTCCCGCTTCCCCAAGCCCTAGACAATGCTGACGCCCCCACCCTACTCCCAGGAGACCCCACCCCTCTGCGGATCCTCAAGCCCGCGCTTATTGGCCACTCGCCCGTAGTCCAGCCCCCCGGACCGTCCCTAGGGCTCGGAGCATTACGTCAGCCAGGCCTGGAGAGCCGCAGAGTGAAGGGGACTGGGGGGCTCGGGCTGGGGGCGCGGTCTACGCTGTCGGCCCCACCCTCCCTACATAAAAGGCCGAGCCCGCGGGGCGGACGCTCTCAGCCCGTCGGTTCCCGAGCGCTTTCCAGTTGAGCTCTCCGTAGGTGTGGAACCGGAGTACCGACAGACACACAGACGCAGATCAGAGTCAGAGAGAAGTTAAGAGGCACCATGCGGGAGATCGTGCACATCCAGGCGGGCCAGTGCGGCAACCAGATCGGCGCCAAGGTGGGCGCGCCGTTGGGGAGGGGCCCCGGCTGGGAAAGGGACGGGAGCTGAGCACCCCACAGAGTCTCTGGGCGGGGTGCTGTCCTAGGCAGGCCCGGAGCTCGCCCTAGAGCAAACCTTCCCGGCTGCTTTGTGTTGCTGAGTGGGGCGTGGACTCAAGGCGACTTTCTGGGGGAGAGGGGTCTCATTCATTTTTGTTGCAATTCGTTTGGAATTCCGGTCGTCCTTGGTCTTTCTTTCCTGTTTGCTACTTGGCCAAGACACGGCTGTGTCAGCTGGACTATGTTCACCGGTCTGCGGGAGGGGCGCGGACACGAGCATTGATTTTTTTTTTTTTACTAGCTTGAACTAGAGTCGAGCTGCGGGGGAGGGGCGGAGGGCGATTGTTTCACGGTCCGAGGACGTGCTTTGAATCTAAAACCACCCTCCCTCAATTCTCTCGCTTAGCCACTCCCTCCTCCCCCTCATCACCGCCTTGTACTCTAGCCTTCTGCGGCCATTCTTAGGGTGACCCTGCAGATCTTGGTCGCGGTAGTTGACCTGCAGTCCCAGGCATAGACTGGTTTCTTCTAGCACGACCCCTACCGCCCGCTGCGAGCAGCTGTTCGCCTGGGAAACGCCCAGTTTCAACTTTCTGACCTTGCAAAATACAATCCTTGTGGCTGCGTTCTGGGTCACTCCGCCCTTTAAGGTTCCTAAAATGTTGGGTGTCAGAACTGAATAGGGGGCTTTTCAAACTGTGAATCGCGGCATCTCTATGGGATCGTGTATGGCTAAATCCAACCTTTTTCTCTCAGTTTTGGGAGGTCATCAGTGATGAACATGGTATCGACCCCACTGGCAGTTACCATGGAGATAGTGATTTGCAGCTGGAAAGAATCAATGTGTACTACAATGAAGCCACTGGTAATTGCCTTTATCCCCCACCCCCTTGCCGCTGCCCCCGCCCTTTAGTTTTGTACCCCCTCTTCCCTTTTCCCTGGTGTGGCTGCAAGAAAGGGTGGACTAACCCGTTTAAGATATTTACTCTTTCACTGGGATGGGCTCCCCTGTGCTACCAAGCCCTTTGAAAACCTGGTTGTGGGTCCTTCTTTGTTTGGGGGCAATAGCAATTGCCTGAAAGAAGGAAGGTGATATGGAGCCCTTTTCTATGGGTAGGTCTAAGTCAGCTCTTATTCCCTGCAGGTAACAAATATGTGCCACGGGCCATCCTGGTGGACCTGGAGCCTGGCACAATGGATTCGGTCAGGTCTGGACCATTCGGCCAAATTTTCAGGCCAGACAACTTCGTTTTTGGTGAGTGCCTGGCATGGCTAATGACGTGAGAGACATATTTTAAGCTGGGCAGCTTAAGTTTAGGATGGAGAATTGTGACTGTTGGAGGAAATGCATGAAGAAAGTCCAGTTGTGTGCCAACTGAGCTTTAATATAGGTATACAAAGCATTTGCCTTTCAACTTCTAATAGCCAGGTGTCCTAGGCATCCTTATTTATAATTACATCCAAAACCAAATATTTTAATGCCTGGCCATTTGGTGATAACACAAAATAATCTTATCTGATCACTGACTCATTGGTCTATATTAAGGGGTTTAAGGCAAGAAGGAATTTAATCCAATTTTCAGTGACTCAAGAATTCTTTTTCTCTCTGGCAGGCCAAAGCGGTGCAGGAAATAACTGGGCAAAAGGCCACTACACAGAGGGAGCCGAGCTGGTGGACTCGGTCCTGGACGTGGTCAGGAAGGAGTCAGAAAGCTGTGACTGTCTCCAGGGCTTCCAGCTGACCCACTCTCTGGGGGGAGGCACCGGCTCAGGCATGGGCACCCTGCTCATCAGCAAGATCCGTGAGGAGTACCCAGACCGCATCATGAATACCTTCAGCGTCATGCCCTCGCCCAAAGTGTCAGACACGGTGGTGGAGCCCTACAACGCCACCCTCTCTGTCCACCAGCTGGTGGAGAACACAGATGAAACCTACTGCATCGACAACGAGGCCCTGTATGACATCTGCTTCCGCACCCTGAAGCTGACCACGCCCACATATGGAGACCTCAACCACCTGGTGTCAGCCACCATGAGCGGGGTCACCACGTGCCTGCGCTTCCCTGGCCAGCTGAATGCAGACCTGCGCAAGCTGGCAGTGAACATGGTGCCCTTCCCCCGCCTGCACTTCTTCATGCCGGGTTTCGCACCCCTGACCAGCAGGGGCAGCCAGCAGTACCGCGCCCTGACGGTGCCCGAGCTCACCCAGCAGATGTTCGACTCCAAGAACATGATGGCCGCCTGTGACCCGCGCCACGGCCGCTACCTGACCGTGGCTGCCATCTTCCGAGGCCGCATGTCCATGAAGGAGGTGGACGAGCAGATGCTCAACGTGCAGAACAAGAACAGCAGCTACTTCGTGGAGTGGATCCCCAACAACGTGAAGACGGCCGTGTGCGACATCCCACCGCGGGGCCTCAAGATGTCCGCCACCTTCATCGGCAACAGCACGGCCATCCAGGAGCTGTTCAAGCGCATCTCGGAGCAGTTCACGGCCATGTTCCGGCGCAAGGCCTTCCTGCACTGGTACACGGGCGAGGGCATGGACGAGATGGAGTTCACCGAGGCCGAGAGCAACATGAATGACCTGGTGTCCGAGTACCAGCAGTACCAGGACGCCACTGCTGACGAACAGGGGGAGTTCGAGGAGGAGGAGGGCGAGGACGAGGCTTAAATTCAGCACGTGAAGCAGGGTAGGGAAAGCTGAGAAGGAAAGCGAGGGGGTGGGGGGCTTACCTGTGAAAATACCTTGGCAGTTGGAGGAACAAGCATGGTCTTGTCTTAGGTGTGTGCGCTGGTTCTCTGGTACTCTTCACTGTTGCCTGTCACTTTTTTTCTCCTTTTGTAATATTGATGACATCGATGTAACAGTCAAGATATTTCTGAGCTACTGTTGTAATGGCTAAAATCACATAAACGTTTGTGTCTTAATGGTGTCCTCTTTTCTTTCTTTTCCTTTTCCTCTTGGTCCTCTGTTATCATTTTTAAATGCACTTTTTCTGGACACGTTATATTAATTTCTTTTAAAAGGATAAGTAAAAGCTCAAATGCATTTACTCTTGGTAGGGTAAAAATTCAAGACACAGTAGTCGGGCCTTACAGGAGAGCTCAGCCTGAGTTTTAACATTCCTTTAAGAATATATTTTATTTGTTTAGAAGGTGCCTAATTGAAAGCACAAAAAGTGTATTATTATCAATATTATTTTTCTTATATCCTCTTAAGAAATATTCCATGTTTTCAAACCTTTATTTCTTTCTTCACACTCAAACACAAATCTGTAGCCTCTTTCTAAACAGTATGAAATAAGTATATATTTACTTATTTCTTAAATGTGTGCACTTATTGGAAGTACTGGAGATCAAACCCAAGGCCTAGTGTCTAGACATGCTCTACCAGTGAGCTATATATATATACCCATGGCCTAATGGCATATCTTGAAAAAACAGCTTTTCTAATTTACATGGATAAATAGCATCCATTATGTAGTTGTGCCATAGTTTTCTTAGCTGGTTCCTAGCCAGTGTACATTCAGGTTATTTATACTTTTTTTCTTATATGAGTAATATTTGCATATATCCTTATGTACATGTGAATAGCTATCCTGCACATTTCCATGAGTGGGTTTTCTGTCAGTGAGTGTGAGATATTATACATTTCTAAGTTAATGAAATCACCTGTACTTGGGAACAGGTTTATAAATAGTTGATAGATTCATTCCCAATTAATTTCTCCCCAGCAATCATACATATACTGTATTAACAAATTTTGTGCTTAAGTGAACTACTTTGGGGCTTGAATAGAATTTTAGATTCTGGATTATTGGCTACTTTTAAATGGGCAAGCCAAAAAAATTTTCATAGTTCATTGCATTCTTACCAGAGTGTGAGATAGAAGAAGCAAGCTATGGGATTTCAGTGATCCTATGGATTTTTTAGTAACATGGTTTTATGGGGTAAATTGTCAAAATGGCGTTGATACTCTGCTTTCATCTGGGCCAGTCAGTTGCTCATTTATCAAGACAATAAGGTTTAAGATTTTTCTAGTTTTAGGTGAATTCAAAGTTAGAAAAAATAACTACATCTAATGTGAACATAATGAATTTTCATTAAAAAAGAGGCTGAAATATTACTTGAAAATAGTTCTAAAGAAAAGTGTGAGCAGTATCAGTCTAAATAAGTTTAGAAAGTGTGAAAATAAGTTGATTCTACCATATGGCTCCCACAAATGGAAAAGAGAGCAATTCACTTTACAAGTATTATATATCACAAAAAACTTGACTAAGGAATGAGTAGGGTCAAACAGGGTTCAAGAGCCAGTGGCTTCAGCTCCAATTTTCTATATTATGGCAAACTGGCAGGTGTCATTACTACTGAGCTGGTGTAAAACTTCCAACAACCTCATTGAAGGGTGACATTGGTTTTAAATACCCTGAAGAGTAGCTGCCAAAACCTTTGGACCAGTCCTTGGCCATGCATTCCCTACAACCCACGAGACCTTGGAGAAGAGAAGAGATGGTTGCTGCCAAGTGCC